GTTGTAATGTGACAAAATATGGAAAAGTTCAAGGGGTATGAATACTTTTGCAAACCACTGTATGTATTAGCTCAGCGCTACACATTCTCCTCTTGTCACTGAGGTCCTCCATCTACATGACAGAGATGGGAACACAAAAATGACTCAGCCTGTAACTGAAAATATGGATGGAGGACAACAGAGCTGCTTCATGGAAGAAGAACCTCAGCTTAGCCTGTTAGCTTTAGCGTTATCTCCTCTCATCACTGAGGTCCTCCATCCACATGACAGAGATGGGAACACAAAAATGACTCAGCCTGCAACTGAAAATATGGATGGAGGACCTCAGTTTAGCTTGTTTGTCACGCTAGCGCCGAGCTAATACATATATAGCAATATAGCGTTGGTGCTAAAGCTAACATGCTAAGCTGATGTTCTTCTTCCATGAAGCAGCTCTGTTGTCCTCCATCTATATTTTCAGTTACAGGCTGAGTCATTTCTACCTTCTCCTCTCTGTCAACGCTCTCTGGTTTCGTTTAAAAGAGTCGATCATCAGATATTGTCCAAGATTAACCTTCAGGGTGGATATAGCTCGCCCACACCAAGGACCTATCCACGTCATCATTTACCCAGAATGCTTTGTGTGTAAATAAAATGGCTCTGTCCATTTTAAAATATATTTTAAAAAAATTACTAAACTAAACAGTCTACAGTATTTATACAGTCTTTATTTTACAGTTAAAATATATGTTTATCAAATAATGTCTAATGTTACAACTAATCATGGATCCCTTTAATCTCTTATTATTTATTTCATTCATTGTCTCATTATTTTTTAACCCTGTTTATTACAGAACTGTGTAAAGCTGTGAGACAGAAGTGAGTGGACTGCCTCTCACCTGTTGGAGGCTGCTGGCTGCTGATGTTGGGTTTGGAGTCCAGTGGCAGATAGGGGGGCTTGGTGTCCTGTCCTGGAGAAAGGTAGGGAGGTATGGAGCTACCGGGGGTCATGGGTGGGGTAGGATTCCCTCCCATTGGTGAGCTGGGATATCCGGGCATCACTCCACCTCGACCTGGCTGAGTAACGGGAACGAGGTTTTAGAACCAAATGTTTTAGAAAAGATTTTTCTTTTTACAAGAATCAAGCTGGGCTTGTTGGTTTAACGGGGGAATGAAGTGAGTGTTTACAGGACTTACCCCGTTCACTGCAGCCTGTGTGAAAGCATTATATCCTCCTGATGCACCCGACGGCAGAATGCCCTGACCATTGAAAGGCTCTGACTGAAGAAGAAACATGATACTCAGTGAACTATTTGTCTTTATAAGTCTTCAAATTCTCATCTTTCAAAGAATGCTAGGCTTTTATTTAATAATGTTTTTTAAATGTTTATAAAGACAGCAGTTCATACTGGTCTTTGTTGTGTGAGCCAGTGGATCTGGGTACCTTATAATACTGTGGAGGATTAGGCTGGCCGGCACCAGCAGGAAACTGTGTTGGATTGTGAGATCCAGAAGTGTACTGTCCCACGTGGGGCATCCGGCTGGAAGGGTAAGAGGGCGACGGTGCACATCTCTGCTGTGGGCCAGCGGGGTATTGCAGAGGCTGGTTAGAGAACCCAGACATCCCCCCGGAACCATACTGCTGGCCTGGAAAACCCTGAAAAAGAGACTGTCAAACTATAGACAAAATCTGAATACTTCTTTCCTCCACTGCAGAAAAAAACTACATCAGTGCAGAAGGGATATCTGCTATTCTTATTTTGACAAGAGTTGCTGCTTCTGTTGTTACCAACCTCTGAATGAAAGGGCCGTTTGAGGCCTTGCTGTCCTCCTGGATATCCTCCGTGCTGAGGCATCCTTTGACTCTGTGTAGGATGAGATGCATACAAGCCTCCAGTGGAAGGTGGCGGTCCAGGCCTGGAGGGAACCATACCCCCGGGGTTCATCCCCTGGGGGCCCCGGGGCCCCGAATGGGACAGAAACTGAGTGCCGTAGGAAGAGGCTCCACTCATCTGGAAGAAAGACAGGAGAGGTAAAGACTCAGTCCACAGTTGTTTTCCACAGCCTGATTAGCAGTGCTGGGCATCAGCGCGCAAAAGCGCAAATCTGCTAATTGTGGACCAAAATATTTAATTTGCTCTTTAGCGGTCTTACTAATTCTTATAATTCATAAGTAGATTTGCGCTTTCTAAAATTAAAATGCATTACCGCTAAAAACTAATTATCTACCAATCATCATTATCTTGAACAGTGGAGGGTATGGCTGTCATGAATCACAACACACGTGATCTATCCAACAGCACCCCTCCCAGCTAAACACACTTAATGGAAACGTATACATACTTGCTGACAGTTGCTTTGGGTCAGGGTTCTCATTTCCCACAATGCTTTGTGTCTGCTTACATAGTAGGAAGGCAATGTTTAGAACTCCCTCTCCCAGCTAAAACAGTAAACGTTTGTAATCCATGCTAAAATTGTGTATGTATTGATTTATTTTACTTTAAAATCGGAGCTCCTTTTTAAAAAAAAAATTTAAATGCTGGTGCTCAATACTTGACGTAATTGGTCGAAGCAATCCGCCAACGGGGTTAGACAGACATCTAGTGGTCAACTGGAACAAATACATGGAAAATTTAATTTCCCGTCACAAATCAAATCCGTCATGTACCCAGAATGCATCGCTTCAGTCTTCCAATAAACAGTTTTAAAATTACTTTATTGATGCTTCTTTAATGAAAAATCTACAACAAACAAAAGAAAAAGACAAAGAAGCAGCCGAACTAGCAATCTTCAACAACTTTTTAAAGAAGCAGCTGAAATACCAATCCTCAACAACTTTTTAATTTTTACACCAGAAGCCAAAGGTCTGTTTCAGGAAAACACATCCCCAGCAATCGGTGCTTGTAGGATTAAGCTGTACAAGGGTTCATACACCGCTAGTTGGCAGAGTTGTACATATATTGTATATCAATATTTGCCAGCTGGTAAGTGCCAAATTGAGTTTGCGCTTTAAAATTAGCTTCCGCTAGTTTTTCTATGGCATAAGCGTTTTTGAAGTTGTGGACCTAAATATTTTCATAAGCGCTTTAGAAATTGCGGAGCTAATTTTTGGGTTAGCGCTGCCCACCACTGCTGATTAGTGCAGACCACCGAGTCAGGTCGGAAAGTTTACAGGCTTTTAATCATCTTTTCACCCACAAACACAACAACACACAAACACACACACATTAGGACTTGTCTTTGTTACCCAAAAGGAATACTGGACCTGACAAGGTATGTGTTTCTACAAGAAACAAAGTAACAAAAACAAGTACACACACAATGTGATGTCACTTATGCTCTGAATGTGTATAATTTTTGATCAATCACAGTGGTGAAGCTGCTAAATTAGTGTAGAAAATCAGACAGAAGTTTTACAAAAATCTGAAATGAGCATCTGTATTATGTATAAAATAATCTGACCTGTCATCAGATGAGTCTTATAAATTACTTGGGTTGAAAACAAGGTCTTTAATAGGAACAAACTGACAATATTTTCAATCAAAGAACAAGAACCATAAGTCTACTTTAAAGGAGGGGTATTGTGTAAAATCGACTGAGGGTTGTATCGTGTTATAACGTCATTCCCTCATCAAAAACACACCCAGAGTGCTGCTTTGACTCATTCATGCATTGAGAAATCCTTGAATCTCCTGTGGTAGCTATGTGGAGCTGCCTTAACGCTTGCTGGTACAAAGCTCCGCCCATCTGTACAAAGCTCCTCCCTGAAGCTCAGTCTGCAGCTGAGCTCCTGATCCATAGAGCACCCCTCACCTAAAGCATTGTTGTGAAGACGTGCTGAGAAGTGGGAGTCTCAGAAACGGTAGGAGGTTCTTAAAGAGACAAAGGCCAATTTCAAGGTGTTTAGATAGGCTTTGATGCAAAGTCAAATTTATTTTTGATAGCATTCTCACAATAATTGAAGGTAATATGGTTACTTGATTGCGGTATAAAAATTAACTATGTTCCAGGAAAATACATAACACCCCCTATTCAACAGCATGAAACAAATAGTTTCAAATAGTGGGACATGTGATGAGACATGATAAATATTTAGCTGAGAAAAGATGGACAGATAGAAGATCCTTTTAGGTGGCAGCATCTGTTCTGTGTCGAGGGCTTTTCCTTTATGTAACTTAGGTAAAAGTAACAAATACATGCTGTGTTACAACTTTTGTTTCAGCTGTAAACAGCTTTCCTTCCCAGATTTGATGATAGTTTCTGAGCCTCTATGATGACTCATTATGGAGATTTGTAGTTTGAATAATGGCCTGAGAGGGCAGCATCAAATTATGCAACGTCTCTGCTGTTAATAAGAAGCATGTGTCATGAATCTGGGTAAACAGCAGGGAAGCAGCTTCCTGCAGCTAAACAGCACAACTACAAACCAGGGCCAGGAAACAAGATGTGGGGAAACTCTCTAAGACTTTAGACGTGTGTGTGTGTGTTTTCCTCTGAGACTCATACCTGGCCGTAGCTCAGCTCCTGGTTCTGCTTCTCCTGGATTGCTGCCACAGTTGCGGTGGCCGTGGCAGTTGCTGTGGCAGCGGCGACGGCGGCGGCGGCAGCCTGGGTGAAGTCTGAAGGGGGGCGAACGCCAAGACCAGCACCTCCACTGTTACCAGAGTAACTGCGGGGAGAGTGGGCAGCAAACTTAGTCAACTGAATGCATGAGAGTGCATGAGTGTGCAAGGTGTCGTCACGATGGTGAGTCACAGTGGTGGGTGACAGCAGCCGTGCTGACATATGCTGCTGCAGAACCCCTCAGCAACAACATGAAACACAAAGAAATGTTCAAAAGTCATTCAGCTTTTTTCAGCATATCTTTCTATAAGAGCAGCAAAGTGTCTCTTAAATGGCTCCAGTTGTTGCTAAGTACTCTTGTGTTGTTTGATAGAGTTAAAAAATGTCAAACACTTGCTCTAGTAAATTAATCTGGTATGTTACAATAAGTACTGACACCTGAAGAGGACCTTTTTTATATCAAACTGCTTTTACAGCCTCACATAAAAAGACCTGTCGTATTTGTTGAAACTGTTTCTAATGTCTGAAAATGAGACAAACGATTAAAATTATTTAAACAATTCTCTAATACTGTCCCATTTTAATTTGTCTACTGAGTAAAGTCACAAGGTCTTTGTGGCATGACCAGGTGTAATTCAACACTCCAGTTCAATACTTGGTAAAAAAAAATCTCTGAATCAAATATTTTATTTATGTAAATTATATTCCAAAGAAACTGACTATATAACTATTTTTCAGGGAAAATCTAATTTTTTATTTTTAAATAGTGGTAACGCTTTCTTTTACGGTACACTTATTACCATTTAATTGCAAGGTAACAAAAATGTAATTAAATGTAATTACTACCTTATTACCATGTAATTACGTGGTAATTATGGTAAAAAAAAGAAAAACTACTGTTAGTAAAACTACCTTTATTGGGTAACTACAATCAAATTACTATTCAATAGTAACTCAACACTATATTTATAACCAAAAGAATGCAACTAAATTTTGGGGTTAGTGGTTAATTGCAATAAAATATAACTTTAAAACTGTCCAAATTACCTACTACTTATTTAGGTGTTACATAGTGAATTGTAATACGTTACCAGGTAAGTGCTACATTACTGCAGACAATTAATTGCATAGTAAAATTGTGCCCTAATTACCACGTAATTACATGGTAATAAGGTAGTAATTACATTTAATTACATTTTTTCGTTACCTTGTTCGTTACATGGTAATAAGGGTACCGTAAAAGAAAGTGTTACCGAAATAGTTTTTAGTGCTTCAGTCCATATTTTTAAACATTAAACCAGAAATGTAACCTACAACTTGTCTGCTGCTCCAGTAAGGCACTGGAGCAGCAGACAAGTCGGAGCTCCACTGCTCAGAAACTACACTGACATTACATTATTTGATATGCAACACTGTTTTTAGGAGTTGTCCTTGGTAAATAAACTTAAAGTACTACCTTTCAGGAGCTGAAAACCTTCTCATTGATGATGAAAAATCTTTTCTGTTTGTGAATTTTTCAGATGGCAGGTTCACTCTCATTCACTTGAAATGTTTCTCTGTTCTTGCAGTAACAAATGGAATTAAACTGATATAATTTGCCCTAATGGATCCACAAAGAGAGAGGGAAAAAAACCAGGAAAACGTCTGGGAGAAAATGGATCATAGAAAACCAAATTAAAGCTGACAGCACTGACAAGCTCACGGAAAGATGTTGCTAAAAGAATTAATGACAACTTAGTGTTGTTCTCCAGAGAATATGTAAAAAAAAAGTCTTGCAATTTGAAATCAAAAACACGCCGAGAGAAAACCAACTGATTAAAAGAAATAAATGAACTGTACTTACTGTATATAGAGACTTTGTAGTCAATCAAGCTGCTCATTTAATACACAATCTGCGTTTTCATTTACACACACCCATATATCCTAGTATTTGCATCAAACAGAGGACTTTGTATTGACTTCCATTCATTTTTGTAACTGTATTTATGCCTAACCCAGACATTTTTCCTAAAATTAACCATTGCTGGTCTAAATCTAACCCTAACCTGAACCAAAACCTAATTCAAACCATACCTCTAAACCCAACTAGTAAGGCACAGCAGAGCTGCAAACAAAGTGAGGACAAATGGTCCTCACTCTGTAGTCAAAACAAGTACACACAGACACACACACACACTCATTCATACAGCCTTTACAACATCTCTACAGAGCTAATCAGAATAAATTATTCAACAGAGCCTAATCAGAGGTTTAGATCAGAGAGCCACCTTGAGGGCCTCAAAAGAACAACAGGTTTTAACTTTGGGCCACAGAGGGCCGCGGGACCGCATTGATTTTGAATAAGGTGCAATACACTTTCTCACCACTAGTAGTGGTAGTGCGCCACTCAGATGTTTAACAACTATTTTTGATACATAGAAGAAAATCTTATAAACCTGCCCATAATGGAAGCTTATTTAAAATTAAAAGTAGAAGGCGAAAATGATTTTTTCGCCTTCGATTTTTTCATTTGCACTTTATCAAATTTATTTTTACAGGTTTTTTTATTTGGAACATTTACATTAAATATTTTTGAATGTATTTATTTTATGATCACAATTTTATTTATTGAATTGTCTATTTTTATTATTTATGTTAAAAAAATTATTTGTGTTGATAAGCCTGAGTGGTCCGTTGATTGTTGTATTTGTTCAAATAATTGTTATCGGCTGGTTACAATATAAAAAAAATGTTTGTCATAATCATGTCTTGTGATTATTTGACAGGAGTTTTACTTTTAAACTGTAAGAGTATTTTATTTAGTTATAACGCAAATACAATATAAATTAAACCAAGATTTAGAATAATTATCATTTTGATCCGTATGGTAAAGTGTGACTGGGCCTCATGCCACTTTATGTTCAACAAATTGGGCCCGAGGTCAAAAAGGTTAAGAACCCCTGGTTTAGATCGCATTCAGACACTGATGGGACACATCAAAGACAATGTGGTGTTCAGTGTTTTGCTCAGGGGCACTTCAACATGCGAATGCCAGGAATCAAACCTCTGACTCGGTCATTAGAGGATGACTGCTCATGCCACTGAAACGCTAGCTGTTTGGTCACACATTTTTTCACAGATGGAGGGCCACACTTCTCTGCAGATGGATTCTTTTGTAGACGTCTGCTCTCTCATTAAGTTTTGAACCATTTGACCATCTTCACACGTGTCTGAAGAGTCTTATAGGTGGACCTATTTTCTGATGGCCTCGGCCAACTGCTCCTGTGAGTTAAAGTTTGGACTAGGCCCTGTATCCAGAAGGGACGGACGAAACTACTCTGAGAACAAAATGAAGTGATTTTCGTGACACAACTACATCAATGAGAGCTGTTATCTCAGCTTCAGATGGATGGAGAGCCTCTAAATATGCTGTTACATATTAATAACAACAGTACATTTTAATCTAATGGAAAAGCATTTAGGAAATGTTGGTATTTAATATTTTTTGTGATATGTGGAATGTTGTTGAGCAGCTGATCAGAGGCTTCATTCCCTCCCTGGTACTGACTCTGTTAATGCTCCTGCAGCCGTTTACTCTCATGCTGTGTTCAAAGTGAAATGTTTCTGATGGAAACTGTAACAGCACCATTAGGGTAGCAGCGGTTTAGGCATGACATCAATGCTTCCAGTTGCCAACAGATTAATGGAAATAATTTAGTGTGTGAAATAAATGTAGTTGTGAGAAAAGCAGCATACCTTCCTCCATAAGCCGAGGCTGGATTGTAGGCCGGGTTGGGTCTGCCGTACATGACTGGCTGGCTGTAGCCTTTAGACACAGAGTCTCCGTATGCCTGCTGGCCCAGGAACTGGGAGCCCATGCTGCCACCCATACCAGGGCTGCCACCTGGCATCATATGACCTCCAGAGCTCTCACCAGGGCCCATGGGTGCACCGAACACCTGCAGAGTAAACAGGGAGGTGCATTGATATGTATTACAGGATTGGACATCACGTGACTTATTGTGCACTGCACAGGTGCCAATGCTATGCATCAAGTCTTGATCAGGAACATCCATGGATGCTGGTAAAAATGAGAATATAGGAGGAATATAACTCTCATTTTACATTGCAGCCTTTTTTTTCCAATGAGTTTTTTCCAATGACGTGTCTCTGCACGCTGTCAACGTTTCGTTGTTGGGGGCGTGGTTAAATGGAAGGCTCCTTCACGAACCTTCTCACTGCAAAAAACTGTCCATCTTACCAGGTTTTAAAATCTTATGTCAGCCAAAACATCTTTTTGATCTTGTTTTGAGACTGATTTACCGAACAAGAACTGATTGTGTAAGAATAATAATCTTGTTTTCAGAATGTGTAAGATTATTTGTCTTGTTAGTCTAAAAATTTGACTCAAATTAAGTCAAAAATTTCTGCCAATGGAGTAAGAAATTTTTACTTGGTAAGATTCTTGAAATACTTGATTTGACTCAGTTTTTTTTCTTATTTCAAGAATCTTACCGTTAAGTTAGCCGCCAGCTAACTTAACATGAAAAGTTCTCAAGACTACTGTTGTCCAATATAGAAGTACATTTTTCATTATTTATCTTACTTGTGGTTGATTTTGCAATGTTTTTTTTTCAATGTTAAATCTCTTTTTGAAGTCAGTGTAAGCTGTCACTGCTTTAGCACCATATATATCCCCTGAATTCTTATTACAAAGGCATGAAGGAAATTCTTCTGTAGTAAATTTTGCTGCTGCAGGAGTAATGCAGAACATTTTAGATTGGTTCAAGACAATGGGCCTCATGCAAGAACCGTTCGTACGCACAGATTTGTTCTTAAATTGTGCGTACGAGTGATTTAGGAGAATTTGACATTCACCAATGTTTTCGTATTCTACAATTGTTTTCAGATACGAACAAAATTTACGTGTGGTCCAGACCTGTCGTATATTTTACGTACAGTCAGTCTGCTGTTATCCAGACGGGTTTTCCTCCCTAATAACTTTATATTTCATTAGTTTGAAGATATTTTGAGTTGAAAATAAATCACACTCCATAATTATGTTGACAATAAGTTATTCTGCTTGAATTAGAGTTATAATTTTAAAGGTAATAATTTAGACTTACAATACAAATTGTCCGTCCGGCCGGCTTATCCGCTATCAGGTGCGGCAGCGGGGCAGCAGGAGAAAGACCCCGCGCTCTCCCCAGAGACACTTTCCAGCTCGTCCTGGGGGACTCCGAGACGTTCCCAGACCAGAGGAGGTATATAATCCCTCCAGTGAGTCCTGGGTTTTCTTCAAAGTGCCAGACATATTTTTGAAAGCATTTTAAAATGCTTATTTCAAACCCACATCTGAGACCACCGCAGCGTGCGGGGGGGGGCAGCGCTGCGCTGGGGCAGCGCTGCGCTGGGGCAGCGCTGCGCTGCGGCTTCTGACTAAATGAAAATGATTTAACACAGTTGTTTATACTTTTAGCAGCTCTTTTTTATTCCACAGCTGACCTGCTAAAAATGACAGATTTTCTTYTCTGGATCTCTGACAGACGGACTTCAATCTCTGAACTCGTAAAGTTCTTCTTTTTAATTATCGCTGCCATTTTCATGAATGGACACTTCCTTGTATCTGAGGCAGGAAACATAGCCTTATATGGTGTTTTTGGGGTGGTAGTTATGCTAATCTCCCCTCCTCGTGCACGAGCAGCTGGATAGAACAGATGGAATTTACGCAGCTCATTTACGCACTTTTCCTGAAGATAGAAGCGTTTGTTGAATCTGACGTGACATGTTCGTACGAACCCTTTGTACGAACAAAAGTAAGAGAAATTTAGGATAAGAATACGAACATGTTCTTGCATGAGGCCCAATGTTTCAAATGTAAGCTACAAACTAGGGCTGCACCAATTCCAGTTTTCTTGACAATCTCCGATTTCCGATTTTTAAAAAGTCTGACCTGCCGATTCCGATTTTGGCCGATAATTTTTTTAAATAGCTGACACTGTCAGATATTATAAAGTCTCAATAAAACTTCAATGCTCAAATGTTATTTTATTCCCAATACCCTTGAAACTATCCAAACTTGTTTTAACTGGACATTAGGTAGTGCTCACAGCAGAGCAAAAGTGAATAGTGGCTGATTTTCAGAACTTTGTGGAGGGAGAGAAGCCGATCTTTTCCGCCGATCTTATCTAAGGATCGGTCAATCTATCGGCTGGCCAATTTATCAGTGCACCCCTACAACAGACATAACCCTCAACTAAAATAATATTAAACAACAGAAGAAATACAGCTGGGTTCAGGAGAACAACAGGGATCCCTTCCTTAGACTTGATCTGAAAAAAATTATTCTCACATTTCAACTTTAATCTAAACAGCTTGACTTTAATCTTAAAGTGCCTGTGACATGCCTATCCTTCAAATACAAAAAGTCAAAGAAAGCATCTTTATACTAAAGAAAATTGGCATAGCACACATGATTTTACCCATTTTGTCACATAACTGGCCTATTTTCTTTTAAATTTGGCTCAGCCTAAGTGAAACAGGAAGTGACATCAAAGGGGAGCTCTTTAATAAAATTAACTCGCTGGTCTCTGTTTATTAAAATAAAATTATTTAATTTTTAACTCTTTTTTGTCTCTCTTTGATAGTGACTAAAATAATCTAAAGAAACATCAGATTTTTCTCTACAGTCTGTGTGCTTTTGTTACAAAACTCCGTTTACATGCTGAAATTCCCCTTTGACATCACTTCCTGTTTCTTCACATGCCAATACCTCAACCATCGTTCATCTCAGTGACGTGACATTTGTTTTGCAATATGTTATCAATGTTATCTTTCCAAAAATGCATTCTTGTTTATCACAGAAATTTTATGTCACAGGGAACTTTAAAGCCCTAAAACGAAAACTGCCCTCATTATTATTATCATTATTATTTTTAATAATAAATGGTCCCCATAGGCAGTCATAAAAACACGATAATAATGAAATGGACCAGTTTCAGACATTTCATTGCCTTTAAATAAATACTTCATAAAGCTGACTGGACATTTAGGAAGAAGCTTCAAAGATGTTGAATTAAAACAAAAAATAAATCCACTGTTTACCCTCAGAGCAGAAGATGAAAAGAAATGAAAGCAGTTGAAGTTGTGTTTATGTGATGTGTGATGATGAATGAGGTGAGGGTAAATATCTTAACGTCACTATAGCTCCACATGTAACAACCCGTCGCCTTGATTTAATCCTGAGATGAATATAAATTTCTGTTGTTTCAGCACAAAACACAGGAGCAGAACAATGAGTCATGTGTTACCTGGCTGTGTGTGGGATTGGTCACGCCCCACACCGTGGTTACTACAGAGAGAGATCTCGCGTGCTGATTGGTGCCTGGTTGCCAGGAGACTGGCTCATTTAGGAAAGGGCCGTCGGTGCTGCAGAGGGAAATGAAGCTGTGTTACTAGGATGCTTCAGGAGAGGCAGAGGGAGAGCACCCAGATATCAATAACCACAAAATGTCACCGTATCACAAACTTCCTGTGAAAAGTGTTTAACACCTTGTTGCAGATAATTTACTGCTCTACGCAGGCTGACTGAGCCCAGTTAAAAGGTCACGAATGCATCGTTTACTTCAGTGAGCTAACAATTAACGTGATCATGGTTTATTCATCTGGCAGTTGAGGTTAGCCTTTGCTTCCTCTTCTAAAGCACTTCCTCACAGGAAACTACCACAACAGCACAGCTGTCAGACCACATTATTTACAGGCCCACTGAACTTCTTACCGCCATAAAACTTGTTCTTGTAATAATCTCCTCTCCTTTTTTT